GGTACCAAAAAAAAATGTAATAGAGGCTAGGCGTGTAGCTCAGTGGTAGAACTCCTGCTTACACCCGGGGTTAAATCCTGAGCACCAAATAAATAAATAAATAAAATTTTAAAACATACCATTTGCTTTTGCTTAAAGTTATGCTTAGTTAGGCAGGCAGCAGCACCACTGAGCTAAATCCCTGGCCCTGTTTGGTTAAATTTTTAAGTAGTAAAGAGAATTGTAAAGGACAGTCTTAAATTAGAGATTTACTTTATGAAAACTTTTTTCTGTTGAACAACTTTCATAAACTGTGCAAAATACAGAACACTTCATAAATTTTCCTGTTATTCTTGTGCCAGGGGCACGTTAATCTTTTCTGCATCTTTCAGTTTTAGCTGTATATGTGTGGCTGAAACAAGCATTACATGTCTTTATTCTTCTCATTTGCTGCAAGTTATAAAAATTCCTCCAAAGGTTGGCACTGCTTTTTGGATCCAGTGTTTAAGAGTCTCTAGTCAAAGTCTCTAGTCTTTGTTACTGAACATTGTCAAGGCTGTCTTAATTCTGCATCTGCTAGAGTCATCTTATAGCATTTCCTAGGGACTGTAGTCCTATTGGTCACCTTGTAAATTCTACAACTCTCTCTTTTACAAAGAATCATTCAAATCTGTGTAAATACAAATAATATAACTGATAATTACTCATTCCTGTATTTGGGTTGTATGTGTTAACACAGGGTTCTCTGTTCCAATCTGGGTCTGTTATGATCTTAAGTAATAATCTCTCTGCACCTCAGTTTCCCCATCAGTGGTACAGCTATAATAGTATAGTAGAGTTCCTCTGAAGTTTTAATGATAATGTGTATAAATGCATATAAGGAATAGTGCTAACACATGGTAAGTACTCTAATATTATATTTTATATATTAATATGCTATTTACTATTATTCTTGTTCCTTAAAGACAGGTTATGTATATATACATACATGTTTATACACACACACACATATACACACAAACAGTCAAAGCAGGGAAGAATGTTTATACATTGTATTAATATTTTGCAATTGCACTTTAGGATAGCAGCATATTTTAAGGGGGATCTCCAATACTTTTGAGTTAGGCACAATTAGTGGACAGAATTTTAAAGATGGAGAGCATCTTTAATGTCATGTGATTCTACCCTATTACAGGTGGGGACTTTTAAATTTAAAGTAACTTAAACAGTTGCCATGGTGTGCACCTACAGTCCCAGCTACTGAGGAGGCTAACAGAGGATAGAGTTCAAGACTAGACTGGACAACAGTGAGACCCTAGCTCAAAAAACAAAACAAAAACATTTATAGAGTCCATCTAATAGCAAAAAAAAGTTTGTTAGAATTATCAGAATAGCCTCATAAGTAAATAAAATATACAAGCTTCACATATATTTCTAGCAGCTTTGCCAACCACTTTATCAGTGCCAGTCATGTACTGTCTTAGCTACCTATACTTTTTCATGAGTGTACAAATGGAAAGCAACATAATGTTCAATTCTCTGAGAAACAACAAAATTCCTAATACCTAAAAATGGTAATAAAGGACAAATAGGGTTTAGGAAATTTATTTTAGTGCAACTGCCAGATTTATTTTAAGCCCTATGCTTAAAAATAAATCTAATTCACATGACTAACTTGAAATACTGAAGCTAAAAAAGTCACTACAAAAACATTTAATGAAATACCTGGAGTTTGTCTCTTGTGTTCATCTTTGTTACAATTTTTGTGAAAACTTACTTCCTACCTTGATTTATACAGTGGACTTCATAACTAAATATTTCTTGATACATATCTAATAAAATATAAATAGACATTTTCCAAACAGCATAGTATTTTCTAACCTCTGACTCACATGGTAAGGTTGGTGGACTGTTCAGATGCTGTGCAATGCTTTTTATATAGAAAGAAGCTAGCAGCATTTTCCAGTGTGGAGTAAACGTCCACGTTTTCTAACAATCCTTAATTTGACCTATGAGCAAAAACAATCCTCTCTTGCACCACACTCAACCAAGCAACTGAAGAAGTAATGCCCATTATTTTCATGTTCCACATTAGTCCTGATAAAATCACAACTCCAAGTTTCACTGAATGCTTTGAAGTTGAGAGAGCAGCACTACACACCCAAGAAAGAACCACAGCGGGGATGTGGATGTGAGAATGACTTAAAAAGATTGATTTTCTTTTTTTTCTGAGATTTTTTTCTTTTTCTTTTTTTAAATTAAATGGTGCTTGATTTCTATTGACTGGTTCTGGAGTCAAATTTTTAAGGCCCCCTGACACACACTTTCGGCTTGGGAGTGTTGAAGGTTTCCTAACTTCCCCACTGAATTACAAGCACACTGAATGTGGAGGGCTGACGATGGAAAACCAACCTCAATGGGGCGAAATAAAACGTTAGTTTTTACCGAGGGAAAGGCGCATTTTTTCTCTCCAAAAGAACCTCTTTTTTTTTTTTTTGGTACCAGGGATCGAACTCGGGCCCTTATGCTTGCAAGGCAGGCGGCAGAACCACTGAGCTAAATCCCCGGCCCCAGGAACCTATCTCTTGCCAGGTGTGGGGGCGCTCGCCTGTAATCTCAGCACTCAGAGGTTGAGCCGGAAGGTTCGCTGCAAGTTCGAGGCCAGCCTAGATTACGTAGGCCAAGGGCAAAGGCAGCCTGAACCACAGAGCGAGACCCTGTCTCAAAAAACAAGCAACCCCCCCTCCCCCGGCCATAGTAACTGACAAAAATAACCGGTACGCTTTCTTTCTGTCAGGATTCCCCCGACGGGAGGAAACCGAGGTGGCGTAGCTGTCAAAACAGCAACCAGAAGCACTGAGAGGTCCTCCTCCGTCCGGACGCTTTAAGGCTGCTCCAGAGCCTGCCCGGGGCGAGGTCCGCACCGGGATCCGCGAGCC